AATAATAGTTTATATAATAGTATTGATAAATACTGTCTACCTCCGGTCTCAACTTCATGGTGATGTATCTTGTAGCCTTTTAAATGTTTATAAATTTTTTGTTATCTTTGGAGTTTGTATTGCTTAGGAAGCCCTGCCTTAGATATGTAAAACAAAATTTCTGTATTCTAGAACTTTAATATCTTCAATTCTGAAATTTTTGCATATGAAAGAGCCTATATTTCTCTATTTGAAATGCCACCTCTATAATAAATGTATACATGGGGTTATTTCTGAATTTGTTTGTTCCACTATTTGATCCTGTTCCAGTACCTCCCTGTTACAAATAACCTAGCTTTGTAGTTCTGATGGGTATTTGGGTGAGTTCTCAGTCTTCTTATTTTTTTTAAAGATTTATTTATTCATTTGAGAGAGAGCAAGAGCATGAGCAGGGGGAAGGGGCAGAGGGAGAAGCAGGCTCCCCGCTCAGCAGGGAGCCCAATGCAGGACTCAATCCCAGGACCCTCGGATCATGACCTGAGCCGAAGGCAGACACCTAACCGACTGAGTCATCCAGGCGCCCCTCATTCTTCTTTTTAAAAACACATTTTGGTTAATCTTGCACCTACATTCTCCCAGATAAAAAATCATCTTGTTGATTTCCACTAAAAATTGTTCGAATTACTTGAAATGCAACAAATTTATAATCTGAGAATATCTTTACAACACTGAGCCTACTTATCTAGGGACACAGCAGATCTTTCCATTTATTCTGATTTTCTATAACATCCATAAATGAAATTTTATGGTTTTTTAACGTAGGTTTTGCTTATTTCTTGCTAGATTTCTAGAATGTTTCACCATTGTTGCTAATGTGAGTTCTTTACATTTAAAAGTTGATTATATCTAGTTTATAAAAAATCTTCTGTATGTTGCTGAGAGCTTACCATCTTCCTTATAGATTTTCCAGGTAAACAATATCATTTATCTTAATTTCTTCCTTTTCAATTTCATACCTTACTTCTCTCTCATTACTATTATACTGGATCCAAAATTCTCAGAAAAATGTTGAATTGTATGAATGACAGGAGATATAACCTGGCTCATGACATTAAGTGTGCTGTTTCTTTCTGGTTGATACCCTTCATCCAGTTAAGCAAGCTTCCTTTTGTTACTTGCTTAATATAAATTGTATTTTTTTTAAAAATCAGTAATAGATGCTAATTTTTCAAGTGTTTTCATTACCAATTATGGCCATATAGTTTTTCTCCTTTATCTACTAATGTAGAAAGTTTTCACAAGAAAACTTGTCTAATGTTGACCATCCTTTTACTGGTAGGATTAACCCAACTTGGTTATGACATCATTCTCTAAATGCACTGTTGGCTTCATTGTTTCCTTAGGTTTTTTGCATGAGTATTCGTTAAGTGAGACTGAGCTAGGTTTTATTTTGTTTTTTTCAATTCCACTATGGTTATGCTTTCATAGTTGGGACATACTCCATTCTTCTCTATGCTTTGTTCCTGGTGACTTCTGTCAGGGATATATATATAGGGCATTCTTTCATGATTATCAGTTTATTAAGGTTTTCTAACTCTTGAGCCAATTTTTTGAAATCTGTATTTTCCTAGAAAATTGTTCAAGTCAGTTTTCAAGATTATTAGTATAAGGCTTTTCTAAGTTCACTTCTAATTATGGAAGTCCCTCGTAACTGTAATGTTCCGTTTCCAAATACTGCTTTCTTTTCTTTTTAGATTTGCTAAGTGTCAATTTTTTTTTTTTTTAAAGATTTTATTTATTTGACAGAGAGAGACAGCGAGAGCAGGAACACAAGCAGGGGGAGTGGGAGAGGGAGAAGCAGGCTTCCAGCAGAGCAGGGAGCCCGACGCAGGACTTGATCCCAGGACCCTAGGATCATGACCTGAGCTGAAGGCAGACACTTAATGACTGAGCCACCCAGGCACCCTATTTATTGTCCTTTTCAAACAGAAGCTACTATTAATTTTATTTTCTATTTCATTAGTATCTGTTTTTATTAATTCCTTTAAGTTTATTTTGGGAGATTTTATTTTTTTCTGCTTCTCTGCTATTTCGGTTTTCTTTTCTGATCCTTCCTGACATTTGTGCATCCTTTAAGGATGTGCTGACCCTCGGTGAATTTATCCATCCAACATTGCAATAAACGAAGCCTTTACCATTATTATGTAAGTGGCTACAAACTCTGTATTAATTTGGAGTCAGTCAGAGTGGGTTCAATCCCCCACCTCCTACTTATGTGATCTTGGCCACATGTGAGCAGTTTCTTCATCTGTAAAAACAGAAATAATAATACAGATTAAGTTTGAAACTATTTGCAAATCATTTAGCATAGAAACTGGCCCCTATTAATAACTCAACAGACGTCTGGTAAGACAAAACACCTTAGTTGCCCTATTTCTAAAGATAAGGGGACTGGGATGACTAATCCCAAATTCCCTCCCAACTGTATAAAAGATGATTTTCATTCTATCAGTTCATCCACCAAACAACTGATCGTCAAGCCATCTGCTAACCCACACCACAGCTACTAAGCCCTCCCCTTGAACTAAGTATTCCGAATGTCAGGAAAACCAAGATGGATGATGATACAGTCCCTACCTTCCGGAAGCTCAGAGTCCTTGGGGAGTCAGGGTGAGGATCAACTGTTAAATAGGTAATTTTAATATAATGCGATAAGTGGTCTAATAAAGGCTGTGAAAATTCAGAGACTTTGAGAAGTATGTCCAGCAAAATCAAAGATCTAGGTTGGACACCTAATTCAGGTACTTAATACTTACTAGCTGCGAATCTTCAGGCAATTAACTTTGGTGCTTTTTGTCTTTATCTGTAAAAAGGAAGAGTAATACTGTTCTGGTAGGTTATGTTAAGGATTAAATAACAAAACTAATATAAAGTACTTAGTAGAGTGTCAGACTCACATGAACTCAGCAAATGGCAATTATTAATATTACCAATATTACAAGAGGCTATGGAAGTTAAAGTCAGTTTACTGCATTTCAAGAGAGGTAAGATAGGGTGAGGGGAATTTCCCAAGTGTGTTTAAGAACAAAACCTGTGGCAAAGAAATAAGGATGGGAAAAAAAAAGGGTGAAAGGGGAATTAAGGTGGGTGATACCCTTGGCGGGCAGAGAATTCTAATTTCTCTATTCTCCGCTGCTAAACCCATGTATTTTCTTTTTCTTTTTTAAGTAGGCTTCAAGCCCAGCGTGGGGCTGTAACTCACCACCCTGAGATCCAGTCGCAAGCTCTACCAACTGAGCCAGCCAGATGTCCCCTCCCACTCCCCTGTATTTTCAATAAAGAGTGAATGGAAGAATACACATTAAACAATAAAGTTAGAGAAAAAGATGTGGGCCAAACTGTTGAAAGTGAACATTTTACATTAAAAGGAACCTTGGAGTTGGGAGTCAGGAATCCTGGGGCAGTCTTTTGACTACTGACCTGTGTTTATACTGGCTCCACAACTTACCTGTTTGTCCTTAGCGAATTATTGATACCTTAAATTGCCTCACCTACAAATCAGGGACAACACCTACCTTACAAAATTATTCTGAGAATTAAGCGCCAAGCAATTACCCAAGAGCCTGGCACTAATAAGCATTCAATAATGAAAGCGGCTGCAGCTAACTTTTCCTCTGGGTCTTTCTCCATACCTGTGAAATGCTAGGTTACGCACATATTTCTTCCAATGTTCCAACAAGCACTGAAAAATTATACTAGGTTTGCCAAGGACGAAGAAAGGCCCCACCCGGCCCGCGCCACACAGGTCACCTACGCAACTGCAGTCCTGGAGTCTCCACCTGCATCGCTGAGGCATGGAAAGCGCGATGGATGGTAGGTCATTAGAGAGACAGGGCCTAGATAGGCTGGATGTGAGACCGTGCCAAATTTCACGAACACGGGTTCTTACCATCCTCCGATTTCTCTAGAGGCGAAGCCTTGAAAAAGGTTGAGGGGAAGTCGGAAGTGACGCAAGGCCGTGAGGAAGTGGAAATGACCGCAGCACGCCGGAAGTTTACCCGTTTCCAAGGCAACGGCTCCACCACCTCTCCAACAAGTTGGCTGCAGTCGGGACGCTGGAAAGCAACTCGGAGGAGAGGGTACCAGCCCACGGCGGCCGCCGCCAGAATGACTCGCGGGGAGTAGCAACCGAAGACGGCGGCCGCCTCAGTAGCCATCGCGTGTGGAGGATAAACGGCCGACACAGCCAACGCGGCGGCCAGTTAAGGGAAAGAGTTAGCGAAGCCCAGGACTTTAGTCCCAGTGAAGACTGGGAAAGAATCCGTGAAGACGGCGGCCACCTCTGTCGGGGCTCTACAAGAAGACTAAGTGAAGACATCGGTTTCTCCCGCAGTGATTCGAGAAGAGTCAATGAAAACCTGGGCAGTGTCTCTCGGGAGAGAGTTACGGGAGATGGTGGCCGCCGTCACAGCAGCTCCTGGGAGAGAGTAAGGGGAGCCCAAGGCTTCAGCAGCAGCGACGTGAATTTAAGTGAGGTCGGCAGCCACCGAACTAGTGACTGTGAGGGACTGGTCGGAGAAAACCGCGGCCTCTGCTTTAGTGATTCTTGGGAGGGTGTCAGAGAAGTCCCGGGCCCCCAACCCGGCGACTCCGGCGAGAGAGGCAGTGACTACTGCAGACACCGCCTCAGTGGCTCTTGGGAGGAAGGGAGTGTCGATGGCGGCCACAGCCTCAGTAATTCCTGGGAGGGAATAAGTGAAGACCGCGGCTACGCGGCCAGCGACTCCTCCGCGGTGAGCGTAGATGCCAGCCGCGGCCTCCGTGGCTTCTGGGAGAGAGAAAGTATAGACGAGGGTTTCCGCTGCCGGAGCTCTTGGGAGAAAACCAGAGAGGACCGGGTCCCCAGTCTTAGCGACGACGAAGGCAGTCACTACAGTGGCTCGTGGGTGACAGCAAGTGAAGATCGCCGCAGCAGCGGGGGCCTGGACTCGAGTCCTCCCCGGAGTCCAAGGGATCGCACCATGCCAGGGGTATCCGATTCAGGCCCCTCCACCTCCTCTAGGGAGACTGCAACCCCGTGTGAGTCAGACTACTTCGCTTACCTTTGTCTCTGCCACTGTGCTTTTCTCATTTCACCCACAACAGCGTTGGCCCTTTCTGGCAGTTTCCTTTTTCAGCCGTGACTCCTAATTTCCCTTAATTGACCTATTTTAAGTGGGTCCCAAAGCTGTTCATCGGTTTCTCATCCTCCTTCACTTCAGCTTTCCTCTCTTTCTTCCACCTGCCTTATTCCTGAAACTTCTTGCCCAGATTGACGTAAACGCTTGTTAAATGTTAGGGACTCTTGGCTTCTCTGCAGCATTTGACCCTGTGGAGATGACTTTAGACTTACCTAGTTTTCTTCCTTCCACTCTCTTGACTCTCCCTTTCCCTTAGATGACTTTTCTTCCATCCTTTCCTTAAATGCTGTCCCCGCCCCCCCTCCGGATAATGCCATCACTAGTGCTTTTTTTCTGGTCGTGTACTATGACTTAAACCCTAGTGAATTCTGCGTTACTCAATCATCCAGTAAATATTAATTGAGTGCCTACTATTTGTTGTATCTTAAGGTTATATCACTGAAGAAGACAGGCACATTCCTTACCTTCTAGGAAGAAAGATAAATACTGAGCAAATAATAACTAGTGTGATGAATATTATAAAGAGTAGCATGCCATTGGCTTCACTATGGGGTGAGGATGGGTATCAGAAAAAAAACTAATACTGAGACACACCTAACACTGAGATCTGCTGCAGACTCATATATACAGCTCCCTTCTGGAACTCTTCCTTTGGCACCTCAAGATCAACATATGCAAAATAGGATTTTGAATCCATATGCCCTCTCTGTCCTTTGGTGTCTGCTACAGGTAACTAATCCAGACACCTTGGAGTCATCCTGCTTCTCCTCCTTATTTCATCCACTGTATGCATCGAAGTTCAATTCATTCTATTTCCATATTTGTTGAATCTGTCTCCTTTTCTGTTCCTACTGCCACTCTTTTAGTTGAGGGTTTCAACCTCTCTGGTGTAGACTATTGTAGCTTTCTTCTAACATGGTCTTCCTGAGTCTCCAGTCTTGCCTTTTTGCTGCCCTTCAGCAATAGGATGGGGTTTTGTGTGTGTGTGTGTGTGTGTCTGTGTGTGTGTGGTTTCTTGACCACATCCTACTGTTCATGCTGTTTAGGTTGCCTTTCCCTGTCCCCATTTTACCTGGCAAACTCCTGCTAATCCTTGAAGATTCATTTTAGATCTTACCTTCCCCAGAAATCCGTTCTGTTCCCCTTTCTTCCTACCCTGGCTGCGTTAGATGTCTTCTGTGCTTCCATAAGTTTTTATGACTATTTCTGTCATTGCTCCTGCCATATTATTTTATAATTTGTATTTGTATCTTTCTGTGAGTTCTTTGAGGATAGAGACCATGTTGTCTTCATCTTTTTATCTTTATGGTAGACACCAAATTAATGTTGAGTGGATGGATGGGTGGATGAATGAATGAATTGGGATGGGATGGGGTGAAAAAAAAAGGCATAAAATTAGATGGAGCCAAATTATGGGCTTACGTATATTGTCATTCTGAGAGTTTGGACTTTGTTCTCTAGACCAGCAGTGGATAACCAGAAGCAGTTAGTGGAGTAGAGGCATGAAGTGATCAGGATAGTGTCTCTGTATAGAGTGGATTAGAGTGGGTAGAACATCATTTGTAGATCTTGTAGTATTAGTTTAAAGGAGAAGAATGAAGGTCTGACCTAAGGGATTAACATCATTAAACATTTATTAAATGGCTTGATTATTTTTGGTCCCTTCCTTGCACCCTTCCCCATATGGATATATCTTAATTGTTCTTCAAGGTCTTGCTTAAATGTTTACTTCTCCAAAGTCTTAATTTTTCCTGTACTTTCTTAGTGCATCAGTCAGTTTTTTTTATTTTATCAAGTTTATCCAAGTAGATTTTAAAGTGTTGGAGGAAAGAAAATGTATTAAATCCATGTCCATTTTCCATCATATTGAAGTGGGAGAGCTAGGTTCTTGTCTCATGGAATTGAAGAATGAATCTCATAGTCAAAGGAGAATGAGTAAAGCAGTAGAGTTTTGTTAAGCAAGGATACAGAAAAAGCTCTCAAGAGTGAGAGGGTTGCCACTGAGGGTTTTTAGTGGCTATCTTTTATTGAGAACTGACTGGGAAACTTGTGGCCTTGAGATTCTTGTGCCATCTTGGTTTGAGCAAGGACTATTGATAACACCCTTAATGACTTAATTTTTTGAGGTTTGGTCATTTTCTTTAATACATTGTAGCCGCCAAAGAAGAATACTCCCAAGCATCTGAAGCCAGGTGGTCTATTTTCTTATATCCTGTTCACTCTGTCTTAGTGCTTCTGCCTGCCAGGAATAGTCTCAGAGCCTAGCCAGGAGCCCCCAGTCTTTCCCTGCCTATACCTTAACCCTTTCCTTATTCAATAATATCAAAGTGCTTGGCACATGATAGATGCTCAGAAAGGATTTTTGAATAAAATGTGCAGCATTTTGTTAAGGGGTGGTGTAAGATACGATTCCAGCCCTCAAGAAATTAACATTTGAGTTGTGGAGAAAGGACATATACATAGATAAGTAGTAGTACAGATTGCATAGATTATCTACCAGAAATGTTGGTGAGTTCTTTCGAAAACAATTTGAGGTCAGAAATTGTGCCTTTTTGTTTAGGAAATGCTTTGATTAAACTCTCTTCTTTCTCCTCCAACAACTGTTTGTTCATGCTTAGATACCTTTGTTGCTTCTGGCTTAGGTACACATTAAAATATTTCACAGTCACAATGTAGTCTCGATGTTTGGAACATTAAATTATAAAATATAAGACCACTGGAGTGTATGAAGTAAACATGTGACCTGCCATTCCTTTCTTAGTATAGTACATATGAGAAGGATAAGAATGATAGAATATATCAGCCTATATGAGATAAGGCTCTGGTAAAATCACTGGAGAGTAGGTCTCTCTCATGGAGAATGCGCTGGGTATATTTCAAAATGGTTACTTTCCCCCTTTCCCTGACAAAGACATGAAGTGATTCTTTTTGACTTTTCACAGTGATAACCTGGTGGGATTTACCCTGGTGGGTTAAAATCTATGAAAATGTGGGGGCCTTCTAAGACTGTGGCCCCAAAGAGTTCTCACTCGTAGGCTAATACTTGCCCAGCGTCTAGCAATTTGTCAAAATTACCATTTCAGTGCTTTGAAGTTTATGGCTCCATTGGTTTTGGCTCCAGGTAAGCTGAACTTGTTTGTGTTTTTCTGTATTTGTGTGTCTCTCCAGACTCAGGGAGGCAATTGGCCCTGAGACCTCGGTCCTCTGATGAGTCCAAGAAAAGTTGTTGATTTTCTGTTTGTTCAGCTTTTCCTCTACCTATGGGAGTGATAACTTCCGTGCTCTTTATGTGTTAGAGCTGAAATGGAAGTCTGATTGAGATGTTAATCACAAACATCTTTGTAGTAAATTGTTTGGAAAACCAAAGTGATTTTGTGTTTTCTGTTGAATCATTGCTTTAGTCTTTTTTTTTTTTTTAAGTTTTGTAATATATGTTAAGCAATTTGATTTTCAATAGGTGCCCGGAAGAAGGTGCATTTTGGTAACATACATGATGCAGTACGGGCTGGAGATGTAAAGCAGCTTTCAGATATAATAGAACGAGGAGTCTGCATTAATGAAGTTGACATTCTCCATAAGTTTACCCCTTTACATTGGGCAGCACATTCTGGAAGTTTGGAGGTAAGAAGCTATATAAATTATTAAACTGAAGTAAGTTTACAACTGTTAGCAGTTTTGAAAATTTAGCAAACAGGACTGAGACTTTATGCTAGGCACTGGAAATACTTTTCATTTCATTGTAATATTTGTTGTTCTGGTTACTATGCCTTTGTAACAAATTATCCCAAAAGGTAGTGGCATAAAGTGACCATTTGTGCTCAGGAGTAAATTAGGAATTTGGATCTCAGAGACAGCTTGTCCCTATTTCGTGATGTGTGGGGCTTCAGCTGGAAGATTTAAATGCTGGTTCTGGAATCTTCTGAAGGCTTGTTCATGCAGATGTCTGGTGGAAGATGCTGGCTATATGTTGGCCACCTTAATTCCTCTCCATGTGGGTTTTTATGTGAGGTCTCTCCACCTGGGCTCGTTTGTGATTCCTCACAATGTGGTGACTGAGTTCCAAAGGCAAGCAGGGAGGGTAATTTATAGAGGGTAACATATGACTATCTAGTTCTGTCAATCCTAACCTTTTTCCTAGAGTTGCATGTGAAGTCCCTTAGCACCCCTCTCAGGTGCCATTCCTCTCCTTCCAATTCCAGAGATAAAACTATGACCCTGAATATGGTGTTTAATATTCCCATCTATACTTTATGTTGTTATCGCATATGATTGTAGCATTGTTTTTAATGACATTTTATATAAATGACATCATCATGTGTATCATCTTGTAGCTTGCTTTTTGTGTTCAACAATGTGTTTTTGAGCCTTAACTATGTGGTTACATCTATGTACTCCATTTCTTTCAGACATGTTCCAATAACATCTTCTTAGACTAATATCAGAATTTCTCCACTTTTTGATTGATGGCTATTTAGTGGGTTTCGATTTTTAGCTAGTACAGGCAGTGCTTAGTGAATATTTTTTTTTAAAGATTTTATTTATTTTTTGACAGAGAAGGACAGTGAGAGAGAGCACACAAGCAGGGGGAGTGGGAGACGGAGAAGCAGGCTTCCTGCTGAGCAGGGAGCCTGATGTGGGGTTCAATCCTAGGACCCTGGGATCACGACCTGAGCAGACGCTTAACGACTGAGCCACCCAGGCACCCCCTTAGTGAATATTTTTATGCAAAACTTATTCTTGGGTTGTGTGCAAAGCCCCCTGAACTTTTTCCTCATGATTCGAGATTGTGTGGAGCTTATTTTCATGACTACATTTCTCCAGCCTATAGGCTGCAGTGGGTCTGTTCACTACAAAGTCTTTTGTTGCCCCTGCCACACAGAGACTGCTTTCTATGAATATGGTTTCTCTGTGTGATTTCTTGTTTGTTTGGCCTTCCCTGCTTCTTGGAACCAAATCTGGTCCAGAGAATTATATTAAATAGCTTGAACTTTATCCTATAGGGAATAGAGTCACTACATAGACTTAAGAAAGGTTTCAAGTAACATCACATATTAGTTTGAGAGTGATAATTTCTACTGATAACTTCATACTCTCCAGTTTGTGTGCCCCACTTGAACTGTTGTAAACAAGGATTTTTGTTTTGGCCTTTTAGTGGCTTCCTTTCACCTAGGAGAAATATGCCTTGCCAGTTCTTTCTGAGTTTATAACCCTGGGTGGGTATTTTTTTCTGTTTCCTTCTGCATCCCTTTTGGATCTACACTTTGGCAGATTTCCCATATGTTCTCTGGCTTCAGATGTCTCGTAGTTTCATCAAAGATGGGGTTTTCTTCCTGTTTATCTTGCTCTTTTTTTTTTTTTATGATTTCGAAGAAAGGAAGAAGTAGTGATCTTATTCTGCCATATTCAAATAGGATGGGGTGGCCTCTCTTTCCTGGTATCCTTTCAGCCTTTCTGATTACTCTCAGTCTTCTTTGGTTAACCTCCTCTGCCTTCTGTACAAATATAGATTTTTTTTTTCTTCTGCTAATGACCTTTTCTCTCCTACTTTATATCCTCTCTCTAGGTAGTCTTTTAGAGTTCCTTGGCTTTATCACTACTGCATAATAATTCATTGATTTGCTTCTCTCTTGAACTCTGGCTTATGTATCAGGTGCTTGATCAACAGCTCAGGCATATCTGATAGGATCTCAAATTGGTTTAAAACTAAACCAAGTATCCTTTTCCCTCCCTTTCTTAGTTTTCCAGGCTAATGACTTTGCATCATTATTTTTTTTAATTTTATTATATGTTAGTCACTATACAATACATCATTAGTTTTTGATGTGGTGATCCACCATCCATTGTTTTCGTATAACACCCAGTGCTCCATGCAGTACGTGCCCTTCTTAATACCCATCACCGGGCTAACCAATCCCCCTCCCCCCTCCCCTCTAAAACCCTGTTTGTTTCTCAGAGTCAATAGTCTCTCATGATTCATCTCTCCCTCCGATTTCCCTCCCTTCATTTTTCCCTTCCTTCTCCTAATGTCCTCCATGCTCTTCCTTATGTTCCACAAATAAGTGAAACCATATGATAATTGACTTTCTCTGCTTGACTTATTTCACTTAGCATAATCTCCTCCAGTCCCATCCATGTTGATGTAAAAGTTGAGTATTCATCCTTTCTGATGGCTGAGTCATATTCCATTGTATATATGGACCACATCTTCTTTATCCATTCATCTGTTGAAGGGCATCTCAGCTGGCTATTGCAGACATTGCTGCTATGAACATTGGGGTGCATATGGCCCTTCTTTTCACTACATCTGTGTCTTTGGGGTAAATACCTAGGAGTGCAATTGCTGGGTCATAGGGTAGCTCTGTTTTTAAATTTGCATCATTATTGCATTGTCTCCGTTTTTTCCAGAGGTAAAACACAGTATCAACATGTGTCTGAAGGTGCACTTCATAATGCACATTGATGCAGTGAGAATTGATTACTAGATCCTTGATTTTGTTCCATCTTTGTCTCCTGAGTTTGTCCTCTCCATCCTCCTAGCCACTGCCTTAGATCTAACTGATTTTCTTCTTTTCTGTCTCATCCACCTTTAGTTCATATTCAGTATAAAGTTATCCCTCTAAAACTAATATCTGATGTTACTTGAAGCCTTTCTTAAGTCCATGTAGTGACTCTATCCCCTATAAGTCATAATAAAGTTTAAGATATTTGCTAGAAGGGACTTCTCTCTCCAACCTCATCTCCCATCATACTTGTTTTACTCTGTGGTACTGGTTAACTACTGTCAGAGAGTGAGTATAAGCAGGGGGAGCAGCAGAGGGAGAGGGAGAAGCAGGCTACCTGCGGAGCAGGGAGCCCAATGCGGGGGTCTATCCCAAGACTCTGGGATCATGACCTGAGCCAAAGGCAGACCCTTAAGTGACTGAGCCATCCAGGCATCCCTATATATTAATTTTTATTGGAGATTTTATTTTTTTTTTTTCTTAGGCAAAGAACTTTATTAACCTTGTTTCAAACTTTATTCCCAGGCTTCTTCCGCTTAATTAGCTGCAAAGAATAAATTGTGTATAAGCAAAAACTGAAAAGAGCTGCAGTGTCCAAGGGGCTTGGGCTTAAAAATATTAGAGATCCAGATTTTATCAGATCCATGAACAAAATTTTAAAAAGCAGTCATAATATAAAATAGCAGCTCCCAGTAACTTCTTCAAGTTTTATCTTCTTCAGAAGTTGACTCAATTCAGTTTGCTTCATTCTTGGAAGCTTCATCAAAATTCTCCACAAGATCTGGAACTTCATCATCATCATACTCTCCGGTAGCAAGTGGTGCTTTTCCATCCACAGATTGTTTGGGCAGAGCTTCAGCCAGTCTTCTTCAACTAGTCAGACTGTCTGCACCAAGTTGGTTTAAGATTCTGGGTAGCATTTCTGTCAGCTGCTTTGTCTCAGCATGGCCTGTGATGGTGAAAGTGTTCGTGGCCAGCAACGCCTGAACTTTGGGGTTGTTAAAGGGGATCACTGGTCCTTGGTTTGTGAACATACTCACTTCTTCAATACCAGAGATATTGTTTACCCCGACCTTCTTTAAGGAGAACTGAAGTTTTTTATCATCTGCTGTAGCCATTCTATGAACCACCTTCTTCTTTCGGCGAGCAGTTCCTTTCCCACCAGTGCGCACTTGTGCTTGCAGTTTGGCAAGTTTCTCCTGGTTCATGATAGTTTCTTTCATCTTGTTGGAGCGGAAATGGGACTGCGCAGGGGGAATAGGGTTGGCGTTCAGGGGGTCTCAGGCGGACCAGCTGAGATTAGGTCAATTTTTTTTTTTAAGATTTTATTTATTAGAGAGAGAGAGTAAGAAAGCACAAGCGAGGGGAGGGGCAGAAGAAGAGGAAGAAGCAGACTCCCCACTGAGCAGGGAGCCCGATATTGGGCTTGATCCCAGGACCCTGAGATCATGACCTGGGCGGAAGGCAGATCCTTAACTGACTGAGCCACCCAGGAACCCCTAAAGATTTTTATTTTATTTTTTAAGTAATCTCTACACCCAACATTGGGCGTGTGACTCACAACCCATAGTCACATGCTCCACTAACTGAGCCAGCCATGCGCCTATATATATATATATATATTTTTTTTTTTATAAGTGTACTCTTTAAGCCCCATCACCTATTTCAGCCACTCCCCATCTACCTTTTCTCTGATAACCGTCAGTTTGTTCTCTATAGTTAAGAGTCTGTTTCTTGGTTTGTCTCTCTCTTTTTTTTCCTTGCTCATTTGTTTTGTTTCTTAAATTCTACATATAAAGGAGATCATATGGTATTTATCTTTCTCTGACTTATTTTTCTTTGTCTATATTTTCTATTTGATGAGTCATTGTCATCATACTTTCCTTTAATTTTTTAAATATAAATTCTTTTATAAATAATTTCTTTAGTTCTCTGAAGCTATTTATAATAGCAGCTTTGAAGTCATGCTAAGTCTAACATCTGGGCCCTCTCAGGGATAGTTTCTATTATTTTTTTTCCCCCTGTGTATGGGTCACACACTCTTTGTATAATTATAACCTCATAATTTTTTAGTTTGCCTAGACATTCTGAAAACTGCACATTTTAGATTATATATTGTAGCAGCTTTGAAGTCTGATCCTATTCACCCCATCCCTCCCAGATGTGCTTGTTGCTATGTATTTGCTTGATTGACTTGCTTAGACTAATTATGTGGAGTCTGTTTCCCCACAGTATATAGTCACTACTCAGTTTTTTTCATTTGTTTGTTTGTTTTGATTTTTAAAAAATTCTTGTTAGTTTTTTTTAAGTCTGGTTTCCTGGGGCTCACTCTTGGGTCAGTGATTGATCAGAGGTTGTGTTTATATACCTTGAGCTAGTAAGGATTCCATCTTTTGCTGAGTCTGTGTGTGGCTTGGGGAATGTTTTTCAAGTCCAAGCAGTTTACAAGTCAACTTGACTTTCCTTTTTTTTTTTTTTTTCAAATGTGTTTGCAAGGCCTTATGTTTAGCCAGGGATGTCTAGTCAACTTGGGCCCTCTTTAGTCTCTCCTGAATATAAGCAGCTTTGTACATATACATGGCCTTGTAGATTAGAAGGGATAAGTGGAATCTTAGCAAGGTCCACTTGCTGTCTCATTTTTTGGATTTTTCCATTAATTTTCTGTGTGGTCTTTAGTTTGCTTGTTTGCCTTCACCAGTGTTGTGACTTCAGGTGAGCTCTGATGTTGGCTTTCCCAGGTTTTTGGCCCCTGAGTTGGAATTGTTTTTGACTTTGTGCCTGGGCATGGTATTTTCATTCCTTCCAGCAGGGCAATGGAGCTGTCCAGCTGGGTAGAACTTCTGCACCATGTAGCTCAGGGTAGGGATAGTTGTAGTCTCAGACTTTCTGCTGCAGACTCCACCTGTTCTTACTGAGATTCAGAATATTTTCTTAAGTTAATGCTTCTTATTTTGTTATGTGCCTCTGACAAATTCCCAGAGTCTTTACATGGTTGTTTTTGACAACTTTGTCTAGTTTTTTTTTTTTTTTTTGGAAGATTTTATTTATTTATTTGAGAGAGAGAGAGAGAGCAGGCACACACACACGAGTGGGAGGGGGGCAGAGGGAGAGGGACAAGCCGAATCTCTGCTGAGGGTGGAGCCTGATGTGGGGCTCTATCCCAGGACCCTGAGATCATGCATGACCTGAGCTGAAGTCAGATGCTTAACTGACTGAGCCACTGAGGCGCCCCTACTTTGTCTAGTTTTATCATTGGTTGGGAAGGATTTGCCAAGTTCCTCACTTAGCCATTTCTGAAGTCTTACTGATTGATTAGTTGTTTTTTTTTTTAAAGATTTTATTTATTTATTTGGGAGAGAGAGAGTGCACAAGTGGGGGGGAGGGGCAGAAGGGAAAAAGAGAAACAGACTCTCCACTGAGCAGGGACCCTGACTTGGGGCTCGATGCCAGGACCCTGAGATCATTACCTGAGCCAAAGGCAGACGCTTAACCACCTGAGCCACACAGGTGCCCCTGATCAGTTGACTTTTGCCAAAGATGCAAATGAAATCCAATAGAGAACAGATAGTGTTTTCATTAAATGGTACTGGCACAATGGGACAGTCATAAGTGAGATAATGATATATCTGGCACCTTATGTAAAAATGTACTCAAAACAGATCATAAACAAATGGAACACTTAACCTTCTAAAACTTCTAGAAGAAAACATAAGAGAAAAATCTTTGCAAATCATATCTCTAGGAACTTGTAGCCAGAGCATATGAAACTCTAATAGTTCCATAGTAAGAAAACAAAAAACCCAATTAAAAAATGGGCAAATGACTTTGACACTTCAGGAGGACATGTGGATAGCAACTGAGCACATGAAAAGATGTCCAACATCATTAGCCATTAAGGAAATGCAAATTAAAAGCACAATCAGATGCCAACACACCTATTAGAATGGCAAAACAAAAACAAAAAATGATACTACCAATATTGGCAAGAATATGGAGCAACTGCAACTCTTATACATTGCTATACTTACGTATGTTCCAGTAATCCTGCTTACATATTTACCCAGGAGAAATAGAAAACTTGTTACACGAATGTTTGCAGTGGTTTTATTTTCCTGTAACTGAACAGTGTTAGCATGTAGTAGTCTCTCCATAAATATTTGTTGATAAATGGATGACTTACTGTGATTAGTAGTGATGTTGAGCTTTTATTTAATCTTTGTATTTTATTGGCCACTGATCTCTGTGACAGGCCAATGATACCTAAATATTAAGCCTTTCAACACACGATACGGCTATGACCAATGTGACAGTATATCCCAATGATACAACCAATTCTTTAAAAAGAAACTTCTTGAAGATAGAATCTCCAAACTTGAACATACAAAGACAGTAACACTGTATGTGGCACAGACCTCTAGTACTGTATTCTATTGAGATTTACATTAATTAAAAAAGATATTAAATGAAGATGCATTTGACTCTCCCCCCATTTTTTTTATAAGCCACTTTTTTTCCTTTTTAGAGAGTATCATCAGAATAACAATGTTTGCTCTGATACAGAAGCATTTGGGCCCATTTAAAGATCTGTGGCAGAGGCTGCAAATTGGCAGCCTTTGAGTGAATTTGACTCACAGATGTGTTTTGTTTGGCTTATACAGTATGGGTGAAATATAAGATTTGGATCAGCATTTCACTTACAGTAACAACTGGCTGGGATTAAGTAGCAATTATGCTTTATGGACAATGAATGTGATCTCCAATTTGCCACAGCTCCCACTGTTCTGTTGACCCAATAATAAGGCTGAGTGGGGGTTACCATATCATTGTTCTTGTGCTTTTGTTTTTCTTAAACCCCTCATTTACTTACGATGCTTCCCAGGCTGTGGTATTTCATGATGATAGACTAAATTTCAAAGATCTAAAGATGTTAAAAAACATCTGCTTTATCACTTGTTAATCACTGGTTATTTTCTTAATTTAGTGTCTTCATTGGCTCCTCTGGCATGGAGCTGATATCGCACAAGTAACTTTGAGAGGTTGGACAGCAGCTCACATAGCTGCAATCAGAGGTCAGGATGCTTGTATGCAGGTAATAATAACTTTGGCTACTTTAAAAAATCAATATATTTAATAACTTTAGCATAGTTTTGTTGGGCTGTTGCTTTTATTCTAATAATTTGACTCATAGATTTAGTTCTTTGTCCTAAACAAGTATTTATTGAATTCCATGACTCAGATATTTGGTACCAAATACAGCTTAAACAAATTGTGTAAGACTGGGGATCCTTTTATCTCTGAAGTAATTGGCTATTGATGGGTTGTTTTAAAGGGATATCACAGACATGACCAGATTATCTCCTTAATAGTTGTCATGCCTAAAATTTCTTATTTAATGTATTTCCTGGCCAGAATTTCACATTAATATGTGCAGGATCTACCTTATTAGATTAACTAGATATAATCAATGTACTGAAATAGACTGGAATTTGGAGGAATACAAAATTGTATAAGCAAACAGTTCCTGCCTCTAAGAAGCCCGAGATTCTATTTGGAATGACAGGCTCTCTACTCAGTGAATTACGAAACAATACAAAGTATAGTCTATGATTAGGCTCTAATGATTAGAAGGAGATAGAGAAATCATTAATGGAGGCAATAAAACTTCAACTAAGCTGAAAAGAACAGTTTGATTTCAGAAAGGTAAGGAGCAATGAAAAATGATTATCATTTTTTATGTGTGAATTACAGTTTCCCGTGCATCACTTCATTTAATACAACAATCTTATGAGTTCCCCTTTTTATAAATAAAGAATCAGATTCAGAGAGTTAAGTACGTTGCCTAAGTAAGTGACAAAACCAGGATTTGAACCTAGATTTTATTCTATTAATCTCTATGCTGTAATTCTATGTGAGGTACTTGAATTGGAAAAATTAGGAGAGTTCAGGGGATAAACTATTATATGAGTTTGACTGAGTTGTAGATGTTTTGTTGTTGTATACTGTTATGAATTAAGTTTGGATAGCCAGGTATGTAAAATGTCTTAGAAGTAGAATAAAGATTCATTTGTATAAGAGAGTTTTTATCTGTGTACTAATATATACTCTTACACATACATGTAACACACATACATACTTATGCGTACATACACATGCACATGAACCTTAACAGAGGAATGAAGTAATGAAAGCAGTATTTCAGGAAATCATTCTAACAAGATATATCTGGGATTACCTAGGATGAGGAGACAGTTTGGAGGCAAGAAGAGCAGTTAGAGACTTTTGGTGTCATCACTACCCCCAGAGGGAGAAATTAGGTGGTGGCAGTGGGAAAGAAAAAAAATGATTGAAGACCTCTTGCAAAGCAGGAGTTGACAAAGTAGAGTGAAAATTTTAAAGTTTTGAGACAGAATGGCAGATAATGATGACACTACAGATAGGGAAATCTGAAAGGCAAGGGAGATATGGGAGCAAAAATGTCGAATTCAATTTGGCACATGTTGTTTAGGGGGCTTATAGGTCATTTCGGAGCAGAAGGTCCAGGCAGTTGAAAAGGGTGCTGAGACAAAGATTTCAGGAGTAATAAAGTATAGAGAAGAGAATAGAGTATTGAAGATTGAATGTTGAAAAATGTTACTAGTAGTGGTAGTAGGAAGCAGAGAAATGAGTAAAGAATGCAGAGGACGAAATCAGAGATAGGAGAGCCAGGATGCATTGGGCTGTACAAATGGGGAAGAAGTGTTAGGCCGAGTGTCAGAGTTATGGGATGAAACTAAGGGAATGCCATTGGACTTGAGAGCTCACTATAGGGTGAAGTTTGCTGTATTTCCATGCAGTGGTAGGGATGGCATCTTGTTTGCAGGTCAACTTGAAGTTGAGGCCTTAAGGTATTAATTTGAGAAGTAGGCAGTGAAAGAGAAAATAAAATAGTAACTTTAGGGGACATTCGGGTCAAATGAAGCTTTACGTGATGCTTTCCTTCCTCTAAGCATTAGATCAAACCATTCCCATGGCTCTGATTGTCCTTTTCTCCCTCAAAGGGATCTTTTCATTCTCAGAGATGTTGTGGTGTTTTTTGGTACTATACTGTGTAGTTGTTGAATTATCAAGGACTGCTTTATATAATTGATTATCATTGTCTCTACATATGTCCTAATTCTCTAAGTTGACATGTCTTCATATTCCTTGTAGTGATTTTTAAAGTACAGTAAATACTCAGGGTATGGTTTGTGATGATTATTGACTAGTTTGTTAATTAGGAAGACTATTCTTAAAGCTCTTGATATGAGTTATGATGGAGTCTTTTGCTAAGATACTGGTAAATACAGGCTGGTTAGAAAAGAAGGTCTGAGGGAGTAAAACTAAAAAATATTAACTAACAATTCTTTTAAACAGATTACTCGGTATATTATATAGAGGGGTGTGCTGTGTTTATGATATAATCCTTATATAGAAACTAGGCCTATTGTAAATTCAGATGGAATCTCCTCAGATGCAGTTAGAAATTTGATTCGGAGCTAGAACTAGTTACTTTAATAACAAAATCCTCCTACAGTATATTCAAAACCCAGTTAATAAAAGATTCTGCTTTTGAAATAGTGAGTTTACTTCTCAGTTTATTAGCTTAGCATTAAAGTATTTAACTTAGTGATTATTAATCTCTGTTTCTGAAAAGTGTGCCTTATAAATTGTATGTACATGCATGAAATTAGGTATTATAAATATCTCCTAGGCAAGGTTAAAAAGGATCTCAAGCATTTTCTTAGGATTAGCTAAGAATTTCTCATACTTTGTTTGTGGCACATGTATAAGAACTTATATAATGTAGCTATAGGTTGATAAAATGCCTATTACACATCTGCATTTATGATTTAACATATTTATGTACACTCACTGTTATTTCTCTATTTTTAGGCTCTCATAATCAATGGGGCAAATCTGGCAGCTCAAGATGATCGTGGATGCACTCCTTTACACCTTGCTGCAACACATGGACATTCTTTCACTTTACAAATAATGCTCCGAAGTGGAGTGGTGAGAGATTCCTGTTAATATGTGAGAATGTATAATCATATAGATGGAATAGCATTTAGTAGCCTAGTTACCTCTCCCTGACTTTTTAAATCCCTTTTATCACTTTGTGGAAGTAATTTGATCGCTCTCTTTAGCTTTTCTGTCTTTAAACATAGGAGCAATAATTTAGATAAAGCTTCAGAAAAACCCCAGTTTAGCAGTACAAAGTATTTCAGAGGCTGTGGGTTCTTCATGTCAGTTCAGAGTTTAACTGGGAAGATTCTGAACCTTCCAAACACATCTCAACCAGTGATTGTAAATCTTTCTGAATTTCTGTGTGTTTACCTATTTGTTTTGTAACTTATTTCATACACTAATTTAGAAAGTGATTTTTATCTTCAGAAATTGCATTCATTGTGATATTTATTTTCAATATTACGCAGGGGTTGTAAAAAAATAACTTATAAGAAAAGAACTACCTTTATTGAATACATTATGGTAAGAGTTGGTGTTTCTGTAGTTAGAGAAATAGTGAAGGGCCTATTAGGTATTTTTTTTTATTAACTCTTTATGCTTTCAAGGATATGATTGGATCATTTGAATCCATCCCTTTCATTTTACTGGTCAGAAGCCTGTGATCAGTAAAATGACTAGTTAAGTTCCCTTTTTTTGTGTGTGTGTGAAGATTTATTTATTTATTTCAAAAGATTTATTTATTTTTGTTAGAGAGAGAGCATGAGTGGGAGGGGCAGAGGGAGAGGCAGTGGGAATCCCAAGCAGACTCTTTGCTGGTCATGCAGCCGCGCCTGCGCCTGCGCCTTGATCCCACAACCATGAGCTCACGACCTGAGCCGAAACCAAGAGTCAGATGCTCAATGGACTGTGCCACCCAGGGACCCCATGACTTATTTATTAATTTGAGAGAGGGAGGGGTGGGGCATGGTGGAGAAGGAGAGAGAACCCCAAGCAGACTCTGTGCTGAGTGTGGAGCCCAACTTGGCCAGATCCCATGACCTGAGACCACAACCTGAGCTGAACCAAGAGTCAGGCTCTCAACTGAAGCACCACCCAGGCACCCCTAGTTAAGTTCCTTTTTAAAAACCATTTTTATGGATCAAGTTACATTCTTTTTAAAAAGACTATTTTATAAAATTTTATTAGTGCCTTATTAGCTCATATATTTAAATCAGTGGTAGTAGTAAATTTTTCTACTACATTTATTGTTTGCCTTATATTTTTAAGAACAGCCTCCAATTTTCATTTGCAGAATTAAGCTGCTAGACTTACTGTTTCTCCTACAAATGGAAAGAAACTAAGTTCTTGTGAATGTTACCTCTAGGATCCCAGTGTGACTGATAAGAGAGAATGGAAGCCTGTGCACTATGCAGCTTTTCATGGGCGACTTGGCTGTTTACAGCTTCTCGTTAAATGGGGATGTGGAATAGAAGATGTGGACTACAATGGAAACCTTCCAGGTATTCACAAAAGCAAATGTTTTGGTTTTTCGTTAATGTAAACTTTTAAATGATTGATTGTGTTTATGAAATTTAAACTGTCATCATTCTAACACTCCTTCAGAAAACTAATTTTTTACTCTTGCACCTATGTTATGTACCTTTCATATGACTTTCTTTCTGGAGCCATATCAGCAAAAGAGAAATTGGCAAAATTGAACTTGGATTTACTCTTCCCACCAGCTATTTCCTTCATCTGCTGTCTAGTTTATTATTTTTTAACTTCATACAGCTCCACCTCCCAGATTGCTATTTATAAAAAATAGTATAAATAGTGGACACTAGCGTATTTGAGTTAATTTGCTAACTGCAGTTGGCTAGTCTGCAATTAGCTGGCCAGTTGAGACCTATACTCTAAACACCCTGTCTTCTTCCAAGAGGTGCTGTAGAAATGCAGAAGAGGGATAGATCATAGAGTGGAGTGAGGATTACTAAAAATAATACTTGAATTACCTCTTAAAAGAACCTTAAGTAGCAAACAAATGAAGCGAAGTCCAGACAGAATGATATGAACAGGTTTAATTTAATCAAATCACTCTGTTGCTTAAAAACTTCCTAGATTGCTGGGCGCCTGGGTTGCTCAGTCGTTAAGTGTCTGCCTTCGGCTCAGGTCATGATCCCGGGGTCCTGGGATCGAGCCCCACATCGGGCTCCCTGCTCAGCAGGAAGCCTGCTTCTCCCTCTCTCACTCCCCCTGCTTGTGTTCCGTCTCTCGCTGTGTCTCTCACTCTCTGTCAAATAAATAAATAAAATCTTAAAAAAAAAAACAAAAACAAAAAAACTTCCTAGATTGCTGAGGAGCTCTGATTTCTTAGCTTGGCATGCTGTACCTTCCTAATTTGGCTCTTACCTACCTCCTTGGCCTCATCTTCCATCCCTTTACACTGCTGTCTGGGGTTGTTTTGCTTCTTTCTGAAGTACATCCTTTAGTGTTCATATAGTAAAGATGTGTTGGTATGAATTCTTAATTTTTGTATATCTGGAAATTACTGTTTTGCTCTTATTATTTTTTAAAATAAATTTTTAAATTGAAGTATAACTATTGAAGAAAAGCGCTCATTTCCAATGCACAGCTCATTGAATTTTCACAAATGAGTACTTTTCTGTAATCATTAGCCGAATCAAAGAATAGTCTCTTCATATCCTCTTTCTGGTTACCAAGAGTTTCCAAAGTTACTCACCTTGACTCCCAATATAAAAATTAGTATTTTTTTTCTTTCTGAATTCTATGGGATAAAATAATACACTCGTATTCTTTTGTGTCTGACCTGATTTTCCAGTGGTTGTTACGAATTTATACACCCACAAGCAGTATTTAAGTCTTTCAGTTGCTCCACTTTCTCATTAATACTTGGTATTATTAGTTTTGTTTTGTTTTGTTTTGTTTTTAGTTTTAGTCATTCTTTTGGGTGTAATACTTCATTGTGGTTTTAATTTACATTTTCTTTGATTAAAGATGTAGAACATCGTTTTTTTTCCGGAAGTTTGGACCTCTCTCTCTCTCTCTTTTTTTTTTTTAAAGATTTTACTTATTTATTTGACAGAGAGAGGGACAGTGAGAGAGGGAACAAAGCAGGGGAAGTGGGAAAGGGAGAAGCAGGCTTCCCGCTGAGCAGGGAGCCCAATGCGGGACTCGATCCCAGGTCCCTGGGATCATGACCTGAGCCGAAGGCAGTCGCTTAACCAACTGAGCCACCCAGGCGCCCCTCTTTTTTGTTTTTAATTGAAGTATGGTTGACATACATGCTATATTAGTTTCAGGTGTACAACATATTGATTTGACAATTCTATATATTACTCAGTGTTTACCTTGATAAGTGTATTATCATCTGTCACCATACATATTCCCTATGTTGTACTTTTAATTTCCATGACTTATTTATTTTGTAACTGGAAGTTTGTATCTCTTAATCTCCTTTACCTATTTCTCCCAGCCCTTCAACCCATCTCCCTTCTGGCAACCACCAGATTATTCTCTGTATTTATGAATCTGTCTTTTTTTGTTGTTGTTTTTTAGATTTCACACATAAGTGACATCATATGGTATTTGTCTTGTGTCTGACGATATCACTTAGCAAAATACTCTCTCTTCCATCCATGTTGTTGAAAATGGCAAGATCTCATTCTTTTTTATGGCTGAATAATATTCCACTGTATATATATATCTCTATAAGTATCTTTATCCATTCATCTATCTGTGGATACTTAGATTGTTTCCTTATCTTGGCTATAGGGGTGCATATATTTTTTTGAATTAGTGTTTTCTTTCTTTTTTTTTATTTAAAGATTTTATTTATTTATTTGACAGAGAGAGAGACACAGCGAGAGAGGGAACACAAGCAGGGGGAGTGGGAGAGGGAGAAGCAGGCTTCCCGCTGAGCAGGGAGCCCGATGCGGGGCTCGATCCCAGGACCCTGGAATCATGACCTGAGCCGAAGGCAGTTGCTTAACGACTGAGCCACCCAGGCGCCCTGAATTAGTGTTTTCATTTTCTCTGGGTAAATACCCAATAGTGGAATTACTGGATCATATGATATTTCTATTTTTCATTTTTTGAGGTTCCCTCAAAAAAAAAAAAAAAGAAAAATAACCCCTCTTTTCCACAGTAGTTGCACCAATTTACATTTGCACTAACAGTACATGAGAGGTCCCTTTCCTTCACATCCTCTCCAAAACTTATTTCTTTTTCTTTTTGATGCCAGCCATTTTGACTTGTATGAGGTGATATCTCATTGTGGTTTTGATTTGCATTTCTCTGATGATGAGTGATGTTGAGCATCTTATCATGTGTCTGTTGACCACCTGTACATCTGCTTTGGAAAATGTCTATTCAGATCCTCTGCCCATTTTTAATAAAATTATTTGTGTTTTAGTGTTGAGTTATATAAGTTCTTTATATATTTTGGTTATTAAGCCCTTATTGGATATCATTTGCAGATATCCTTGTCCATTCAGTAGGTTGCTTTTTTGTTTTGTTGATGTTTCCTTTGCTGTGCAAAAGCTTTTTATTTTGGTATAGTTCCAGTATATTTTTGCTTTTAAGTTTTTATTTTGTTTTGCCTGAGGAGATAATATCCTTAAAGATGTTGCTAAGGCCCATGTTGAAGAGATTACTGCCTGTGTTTTCTTTTAGGAGTTTTATGATTTCAGGTCTCACATTCAGTTCTTTAATCCATTTTGAGTTTATTTTTGTGTATGGTGTAAGAAAGTGTTCTAGTTAAATCCTTTTGCATGTAGCTGTCCAGTTTTTTCAGTGCCATTTATTGAAGAGATTGTCTTTTCCCCATTGCATATTCTTGCCTCCTTTGTCGTGGATTAGTTGACTATGTAATTGTGGATTTATTTCTGGGCTCTGTATTATGTTCCATTGATCTATGTGTCTGGTACCATGTTGTTTTTATTGCTGTAGCTTTGCAGTTATTCTTGAAACCTGGGATTATGATACCTCTAGCTTGTTCTTGTTTCTCAAGATTACTTCAGCTATTTGGTTTTTTTTTGTGGTTCCATTTAAATTTTAGGATTATTTGTTCTAGTTTTGTGAAAAATACTGTAGGTATTTTGATGGGGATTGCATTGAGTCTGTAGATTGCTTTGGAGAGTATAAACATTTTATCAATACTGATTTTTCCAATCCATGAGCCTGGTGTATTTTTCCATTTGTTTGTGTCATCTTCAGTTTCTTTCACTGTCATCTTATGATTTTCAGAGTACAGGCTTTTTACCTCCTCGGTTAAATTTACTCCTAGGTATTTTATTCTTTTTGGTGCAATTATTGGTGAAATTGTTTTCTTAATTTCTCTTTCTGCTGCTTCATTATTGGTGTATAGAAATGCAATTGATTACTGTATATTAATTTTGTATCCTGCAACTTTACTAACTTCATTTATTACTTCTGATAGTTTTTTGGTGGAGTCTTTAGGGTTTTTTATGTATAGTATCATGTCATCTGCAAATAGTGACAATTTTACTTCTACCTTACTGATTTAGATGCCTTTTATTTTTCTTGTCTCATTGCTGTGGCTAGGGCTTTGAGTACTATGTTGAATTAAAGTGGTGAGAGTGGACATCTTTGTTTTGTTTCTGATCTAGAGGAAAGGGCTCTTAGGGGGCGCCTGGGTGGCTCAGTTGGTTGAGCATCTGCCTTTGGCTTAGGTCATGATCCCGGGATCCTGGGGTTGGGCCCTGCATTGGGCTCCCTGCTGAGCAGGGGTCCTGCTTCTCCCTCTCCCTCTGCCTGCCACTCCCCCTGCTTGCATGTACGTGCTCTCTCTCTCTCAAATAAATAAATAAATAAAATCTTAAAAAAAAATAGAAAGGCTCTTAGTTTTTCAGCATTGAGTATGATGTTGGCTGTGGGTTTGTCATATATGGCTGTTATGTTGAGAAATGTTTCCTCTCCACCCACTTTGTTGAGAGTTTGTATCATGAACAGATGTTGTGTTTTGTCAGATGCCTTTTCTGTATCTAGTGAGATGACCTTAATGTTTTTATCCTTCCTCCTGTTAATGTGATGTTTCACACTGATGGATTTGTGAATATTGAACCATCCTTCCTCCCTGGAATAAATCCCATTTTATTGTGTTGAGTGAGCTTTTCTTTTTTTTTTTAACTTAATTTAATTTTATTATGTTATATTAGTCTACTATACGATAAATCATTAGTTTTTGATGTAGTGATCCACGATTCATTGTTTTCATATAACACCCAGTGCTCCATGGAGTACATGCCCTCCAATTTTTTTTCTTTAAATTTTTTTATTGTTACGTTAATCACCATACATTACATCATTAGTTTTTGATGTAGTGTT